TGTGCATGCCCAAGATGCCAAGAGGAGAATAGAGGAGAAGGGATTTCGGCATAGCCATCCTCTCTGGGGGGTGATTTCTTGCTTTCCCTCTCACCATGTCTGTCTGTCTGTCTCTCTCTCTACTCCTTGAGCAAGCGCATGTGCCCTAAGGCAAAAACCTCTAACAAAAAATTTAAAAAGAAAGGTAAAGGAAAAAAAGTGGGGGGCAGTAGGTGGCATAATGGTTAAGACACTGGACTCCCACATGACTAACCCTGGTTCAAATCCCAGACCCAGCAACTTGAAACACACTGGGTGCGTTTGCAGGCATGCCCAAAACCTCTAGAGGAGAATGGAGAAGGGGTCGTGGAGTGGCCATACCCCTTGGGAAATAATTTCTCACTTTCTGCCTCTTTGTCTCTCTTTGTCTTGCTGGTGAGCACATGCACCCTATAGCAAAAATCTCTAAAAAAGGGGAAAAAATAAATAAAAAGAAAAGTTAATCTTTATTCCTTTTTTCTAGAGAGTTTTTTAATTAATTTATTTATTTATTTTGCCATAGGGTGTGTGTGCTTGCCAAGAGACAGAGAGAAACAAAGATACAAAAAGCAAGAAATCACCCCCTGGGAGGATGGCCATGCTGTAATCCTTTCTCCTCCATTCTCCTTTTGGGATTTTGGGCAGACACGCACATGTGCCCAGCGTTTTTTCAATACACCAGTTTCAGGACTCACACTGAACAATCGGCTTAAAACTCACGCCGGGTGCATGTGCATGCGTGCCCAAGATCCCGAGAGGAGAATGGAGGAGAAGGGATTGTGGTGTGGCCACCCGCCCCGGGGGGTGATTTCTCGCTTTTTGTCTGTCTCTCTCTGTCTGGTGAGCGCACACGCCCTATAGCAAAAACCTCTAAAAAAAAAAAAGAACTATTTATTTAGTTCCATATGTTATTATTATTATTTTAATTTGACCAGAGAGAGAGAGGGAAAGGAAAAGTGAAAAAACAAGCTGCCAGGTTCAGGACTTGAAACCACAGTTGGCCATGTGGGAGTCCAGTCCCTTAACCACTACACCATCTGCTGGCCCAACCTGGTGTGAGTTTTAAGTCACCGGTTCCAGGCCTTGAACTGCAGTCAACTACATGGGAGTCCAGTGATGTAACTATTACACCATCAGCTGGTCCCGATCTTTCTTATTCTAAATATTTCTCTCTCTCTCTCTCTCTCTCTCTCTTTTTTTTGGAGAGATTTTCACTGTAGGGCGCGTGCGCTCGCTAGACAGACAGAGAGAGACATTGAGACAGAAAGCGAGAAATCACCCCCCAGGGGGGATGGTCACGCCGCAATCCCTTCTCCTCCATTCTCCTCTCGGGATCTTGGGCACGCACGCACATGCGCCCGGCGTGAGTTCTAAGCCACCGGGTCCGGGACACGAACCACGGTCAACTACGTGGGAATCCAGCGACATAGCCATTACGCTAACTGCTGGTTCCCTCTCTCTCTCTTTTTTGACATACTTTTGTGATAGGGCATATGCTCTTGCTGGAGAGATGGAGAGACAGAAAGTGAGAAATCACCGATCAGGAGTGATGGCCATGCTGCAGTCCTTCCTCTGCTGTCCTCCTCCTGGGATCTTGGCCATGCATGCACTCACATCTGGCATGATTTTTAAGTTGCCAGGTCTGGGACTTGAACTGCAGACAACCATGTATCGTAGTTGACCATGCAGTTCAAAGTCCTGGGCCCCATGGTGCATGTGCATGTGTGTCCCAAATCTTTTTTTAAATTTTTTTTTGGAGAGGGTTTTGCTATAGGGCACGTGCGCTCGCCAGAAAGACAGAGACAGACAGAAAGTGAGAAATCACCCCCTGGGGGGATGGTCACGCTGCAATCCCTTCTCCTCCATTCTCCTCTTGGGATCTTGGGCACACACACACGCGCGCGCGCCTGGCATGAGTTTAAGCCGCAGGGTCCGGGACTCGAACTGCGGTTGACTACATGGGAGTCCAGCGACATAGCCATTACACTAACTGCTGGTCCCTGTGTGTCCCAATTCTTGACAGAGAGATTGAAGAGATGGGACTGGGGCATGACCATGCCCCATTGGGGGGTGCTTTCTCTTTCTACCTCTTTCTCTGCATCTGTGTCTTTCCCTGGTGAGTGTATACACCCTCTGGCAAAAAAAAAAAAAAAAAAAAAAATTCCCTTTATCAGACGACGTCATTAAGATCATGAAAAAGCAAGCGAGGGGACCAGCAGATGACATAATGGTTACATTGCTGGATTCCACATAGTTGACCATGGTTTGAGTCCTAGACCTGGAGACTTAAAAAACTCACGCTGGACGCGTGTGTGTGCATGCCCAAAATCCTGAGATGAGAATGGAGAAGGGTCATGGTGTGGACATCCCCCCAGGGGGTGATTTTTCACTTTCTGTCTCTCTTTCTCTCTCTCTCTCTGTGTCTCTGGTGAGGACACTCCCTGTAGCAACAATCTCTCTTAAAAAAAAAAAAGCAAGCCATAAAGTGGGAGTAGAGATTGGCAATATAGATAACCAATACAGGACTCATATCCAGTACATATAAAGAATTCCCATAAAATATTATAATAAAAAAAGATAAACATTTCGACAGAAAAATGATAAGACTGACATGAATAAACATTTTACAAAAGAGGAAACATAAAGGTGAAGAAGGGATTGCAATGTGGCTATCTCCCCTGTGAAGTGATTTCTCACTTTTCCCTTCTCTGTCTCTGTCTCATTCCGGCAAGTGCAAGTGCCCTATGGCAAAAACATTTAAAAAAATGTATTTCTCTCACAGTTCTGGAGGCTGGAAGTCCAGATCAAGGTGTCAACAGGGTTGGTTCCTTCCAGTGGTTGCCAGTCAGTAATCCTTGGTGTTCCTTGACTTAGAGATGTGTCATTCCAATCTGTGCGTCCATCTTTTAAGTTTATTTATTTATTTCTTTCATGAGCAACACACACACACACACACACAGAGAGAGAGAGAGAGAGAGAGAGAGAGAGAACCCCCAATGGAGTCTTAAGTTCGCAATCCACCTCCAGTTCCAAATAGCCCCAGATTGTAGTAGCCCAGATTGTCGGCACTTAAATACCCAATGTACTCAGAGAGGTTTCTGGACATGAACTAGCTGCCTTCCTGTGTGGGTCAGTCTTGCAGAACATTGTATTTTACTACCACACCATCATCCAGCCCTCTGCCTTCTTTCCATTGTGTTTTCCTGCTTGTGTCAATATGTCTCTGTGTCTCTTCCTCTCCTCTTATAAAGATACCAGTTGTGGGCCAGCTGGTGATGTGGTGGTTAAGGTAGCTGGATTCCACACAGCTGACTACACAGTTCGAGTCCTGGACATGGTGGTTTGAAAAACACACCAGGCATGTGTACACGTGTGATCTTATTTGCAAATGTAATCAAGTTATGATAAAGTCATACTGGAGTAGGGTGGTCTCTAATCCAATGTATGGCATCCTAATAAGAAGAGAGGAAATTGGGCACAGACACACAGGAAGAAGGCCAAATGACCGTGAAGACAGAACAAAATGATGCAGCTGCAAGCCAAGGACCACGTAGGACTGCTGGCAACGTCAGATGCTAAGAGAATCTCCCCTGAAAACATTCTCCCCCTGGAAACTTCAGAGGGAGTGTGACCCTGCTAACACCTTGACTTTGCACTTCCAGCCTCCAGAACTGGGAGAGAACACATTTCTGTTGTTTTAGGCTTCCCAGCTTGTGGTAATTTGTTACAGCAGCCCAAGGCAACAAATACACTATACGTTTGACATTTTTTCATAGTGAAAATATAGGAGGAAGGTTCGATATGCTCATTGTCAGCAAAGCTGAAGAAAACTAGCAACCCCAGGGCTGGGCATCTCATGGGCAGGATGTCATCTGCATCAGAGCCCTAGATTTTGGGGACCCTAGGACTGTGCTTTTCCAGCCACCTTAGTGCAAAAAGGGATACTAGCAGGGGTAAGACAAGGTATTGGAGGGGTGTGGTGGCGCCCGCCCTATGGCAAGACAAGGTATTGGGAGCCAGCATCTAGGTACAGAATGACTCCAGCCCCACTTCCGTCTGAATTCAGCCCCCTGTAGCTAACAGCCCACTGATCCCCTCCACTGGCAGAGAAGCAGGCCATAGACATAATTGCCTTGTGTGTTTTGGACTAGGGTGGTAGCAATTGAGCTGGAGAGAGGAGGTGGGCCTGGCAAAAGAAGACAGTGGCCAGAGGTGGTTCTTGGGTCTTTCTGAGCTAGGGACATGTTAGCTTTCTTTCTTTTTTCTTAAGATTATTGCAGAAAGACACATATTCTCACCAGAGAGAGAGAGAGAGAGAGAGAGAGAAAGAGAGAAAGCACCCCTGAAACAGGACCTGGTCACACATTTTCCCTCCCATTTTCCATTTCATCAAGATGCTAGGCATGTGTGGACACACCTGGCTTGTTTTTCAAGCCACTGGAGCTGGAACTCAAACCCTGGTCAGTTTGCATTTTCCTGGAAAATTATCTAGTTCATAAAGGTTTTCAAATTTATTTACAAAGTAATCTCTTATTCATTTAATTTTATTCATTCATTCATTTATTTATTTTAATTTGGCCAGAGACCGACAGAGAGGGAAAGTGAGAAAGGAAGCCACTAGATCCAGGACTTGGAAGATGGCAGCCATGTGGGAGTGTCCAGAGCCTTAACCATTAGGCACCTGCTGGTCCCTGGACCTTTTTTTTTTTTTTTTTTTGGAGAGATTTTCACTGTAGGGCGCGTGCGCTCGCCAGACAGACAGAGAGAGACATAGAGACAGAAAGCGAGAAATCACCCCCCAGGGGGGATGGTCACGCCGCAATCCCTTCTCCTCCATTCTCCTCTCGGGATCTTGGGCACGCACGCACATGTGCCCGGCGTGAGTTTTAAGCCACCGGGTCCGGGACACGAACCGCAGTCGACTACGTGGGAATCCAGCGACGAAGCCATTACGCTAACTGCTGGTTCCCCACTTTTTTGTTTTTAAAGTTCATTATTTATTTCTTCCATGAGCAAGAGGGGCAAAAAGAGACAAAGACAGCACCCTAACTTGGTCTTGACGCTGCAGTTCACTCCCAGCCTCAGCCAGCCCTGGGTCATGGGCACATGCACAGCAAATGTTGTGATGATCCCGGAGGCTTCCTGAGGCACCTGCTGTGGTGCAGGAGCTGAATCAGACTTGGACCCCACCCTTCACAAGTTCACAGTCTGGTCTAGGGGAGACATGGTACAGCAGGTCATGAGACAAGGTGATGGATGTCTGAAATGGGGAGGTGCTACTTTGGGAGGGAAGTGCAGAGAGGGGCACCCACCTGAGGAGCAGGAGACAACATCTAAAGCTGAATCAATCAATGTTGATAGCACCAATGAGCACCTCCAGCTCAGGGGCATCATCTGTAGGATAAACGTGTTGCTGCATTGAAACCTTTCGGCCTGTGGGGCTAGCAGATGGCGTGGAGGTTAAGGCACTGGCTGACCATGGTTCGAGTCCTGGACCCAGTGGTTTTAAAATGACACCAAGTGTGTGTGCATGTGTGCCCTAAATCCTAAGAGGAGAAGGGATTGCGGCATGGCCATTTGCCCTGAGGGGTGATTTCTCACTTTCCCTCTCTGGTGAATGCATGCATCCTGTGACAGAAAACTAAAACAAACAAGTAAACAAAAACATTTAAGGCCCTATCACCTATCACCCCCATGGCTTTAATTTGGTGCCCTTACTGGAGAGAAACAGAAAGTGAGACAGCAACCCCATGGGTGGTGGCCACACTGCAACCCCTTCTCCATTTCTCCTTTCAGGACTTTGGGCATGTATAGACATGCTTTCAAGCCGCTGAGTCTGGACTGGGATTGGGGACGTTTCAGTCGCCCACTTTAACCACCACAGCACCTGCCGGCCCCCACCCCCATGGTGTTTTAAATTGCTTTAATGTGCTATTTTTTTTTTATTTTTTTTTTTTAAATTTTTATTTATTTTTTTTAATGTGCTATTGTATACATATAAAGACAGATGTATCGACATGTTTATATATGTAAGAGGACTTAAAAACAATGGGAAAATGGAATTAAAGTACAACTTTATTTTGGTGCAAAAATTTTTGAAATGCATATTTTTTATGACATATGTTTGCCATAAACTTTTTTTTTCTAGTTTTTCTCTAGGGTTTATGGACCTGCGGGGGGAGGGAGAGAGAGAGAGAAAAATCACTCCCCCCCCAGGGGGAATGGTTGTGCCGCAATCTCTTCTCCATTCTTTCAAGAGATTTGGGGCATGAATGCACATGTGACTGGTGCAGTTTTATAGCTGCCAGGTCCCAGACCCAACAGCTTGAAATCATGCCAGGTATTGGGGCTGGGAGTTGACACAGTGGTTAAGGTGCTGGACTCACACATGGCCAACCACGGTTCAAGTCCCAGACCTGGCAGCTTCTTTCTCAGTTTCCCTTTCTTTCTTTCTCTGGTCAAATTAAAACTAATATTAATAATAATAACAAATAAAATAAAATAAATAATTCTTAAAGGAAATCATGCAAGACACAAGTGCAAGCCTGTCTAAAATCCTGAGAGAATGGAGGAGAAAGGATGGCAAGGTCTTATCACCTGGGGGTGATTCCTCACTTTTCCTCTCTCTCTCTAGTGATCTCATGTACCCTATGACCAAAACCTTAAAAAAAGAAAGAAAAAAGGGACCAGCAGGTGGCGTGATGGTTAAGGGCGCTGGATTCCCACAAGGCTGACTGTAATTCAAGTCCTGGGATTACCCGGGCCCCAGTGTTCAGTTGTTGCTAAATCCGAGAAACAAGTTTGTTCTTTTCAGTTTAGTAGCGGATGACACTGACAGCGTTAATCACCATGTCCCTGAACCCAGGCTTCTTTCCGGTGTTTCCCCTTTATCTTCACGTTGTCCTCAGAGCTCTACCGATTCATTGTTTTCTTTTAAGATTTATTTTATTTAACCTTATTTATTTAAATGGGAGGGGAGGGAGGGAGGGAGGGAGAGAGAGGGGGAGGGATTCAAACCGCGACTTACTGAGTGGGAGTCCAGCGCCTTTAACCACCAGGCCACCTGCGGGCCTCCTACTCATTCACTGCTAAGTGTCGGAGTTCATCGGATGTTATCGTGGGCCCTCCCATCTCCTCGCCCTGAATGACCACACTGCTCTTTCACCTGTATCAGAGAGGATCCACCTGCAGAAAGAGGAAACCAGTTACAATTTTAAGGTCAAGTTTTAAAACAGGGATGGGCAAATGCGAAGGCGTGGGGCTCGGCGGAGTCGCCCAGCTTCGCCCGCCCAGTTTCCGCCCCGCCCAGTCGGAATAGGTCGAGCTCGGCCGCCCCTTTTCCCACTAGGAGCGTGCGCACCCAGAGACACACAGCCAACCAGTGAGAAGGAACGGCTGTGCGGGGCACGCAGATAGGCC